CCCTCATCCATCCTGAACTCCCAGAGGGTTTCTTAACCATTGGCCCCTTTCTATCATGTGAAATCTCCAATAGAAACCAGAGTGGGACAATGATAATAGTCACTATTGATAAGATAATAATCAGGTTCATCCAGTCCTCGGGGATCCAATAGGTTGGGTAGCAAAGTTCTTGGCTCCTTCTTCTGTTGGTTGATCAGCTTGATTGTGTCTCTCATCTTGGGAAATCCTTTTGACTCTTGATGCATGGATCCAGGTGCCTGATCCTTCAGTAAGAACAGCTGTACGTGTAATGGCCACGATCACTGTAGGTTCTCCAAACCGGGGTCTCACCTTTGGATCCAGTCTTCGGATCACCACTTGATCACCTACCTCGAAGGGGTGTGTTGGTTGATTTTGCAGATAAAAGAAAAAAACAGCAGCATCACTTTGTTTGCTATTCAACTTTTCACACAATGCTCTTACATATTCTGCCTGTATCACCTCTAAATCTCCTTTCTGCCACAGAGGGGGTTGCTGTCTAGTCCAAGGGGTAGGGAATGGTCTTCCCATTAGTATCTCAAAGGGGGAGACAACTTACTCCGTTTATGAGGTGTCATCCTTATTTCAGCTAGTATAGCAGGTAATACAGCTGGCCAATTCTTCAGAGTCCCTCCCGTGGCTTTCCCTAATTTATCCTTAATTGTTCTATTCATTCTTTCCACTACTCCAGAACTCTGAGGGTGGTAAGAAATATGGAGCTTCCATTGAATACTCAAAGCCTTTGAGACTCCCTGAGTCACTGCTGCAGTAAAAGCTGGTCCCTGATCGCTTTCTATGAACAAAGGACAACCCCATCTAGGGATGATTTCCTTACACAAACCTTGACCACTGTCTCTGCTGTTTCATTCCTACATGGGAAAGCTTCCGGCCAACCTGAAAATCTGTCTACTACCACCAACAGCTTATCTCCTTCTTTTGATTTAGGGAGATGTGTAAAATCTATCTGTAGATGTGGTGAATGGTGCCTCAGGGGGTGTTAAATGTTCATGTTTCCCATGCTGGCCATGCCCAGGGTTGTTTTGTAAACAAGTAAGGCACCTTCCCAATGTTTCCTTCACCAGATCATGAAGAAACCATACACAAAATCGCATTTCTTTCTCCACTAACTGTTTTCCCTTATGACCTACACCATGAAAATTTTGAATGAATAATACAGCAGCTGCCTGTGGAAGTCCTACAATCCCCTCTTTTGACATAAGACCATGTTTGTCTTGTGTCAAACCTCTGCTAGCCCAAAAATCAACTTCACTCTCAGAGGCTTGTGCCTGCAGTGTACCTAAAAGCTCATTTGACAGTAGGGATGGAGTGGACAACATTACCATAGATAGATCTGCTCGATTTATGCAGTTGCCCTGCAGTTTTTGCAGCTGCATCTGCCATAGCATTGCCTTTTGTGACTGGGTCTTTGGCATTGTGCCCGCACTTTAATGACCGCTATCCTTCTTGGAAGTTGGAGTGCAGCAAGCAAATCCTGGATCAAAGAATGATGGGATATTGACTTGCCATCGGCCGTAGTGAAACCACGGCGTTGCCAAATACGGCCAAAATCATGTACAACCCCAAAGACATATTTTAGAATCTGTGTATATGTTAACATCTCGATCTTGATAAAGAGTGCAAGCTCGTGTTAGGGCCACTAATTCAGCTGCTTGTGCACTGGGGTAGGGGATGGAACCTGTTTCAATAATAAGAGGTGGTTCTACTACTGCATAGCCTGTGATGTATGTAGCATCACTAGGGTGTGTACAAGATCCATCGACAAACACATCAGGGGCTCCAGGAATCGGAGTCTCCAACATATCTAGTCGCAGAGATAGAAGTGTCAGCTTGGATAACATCCAGGCAATTGTGCTCCTCCTGCAATTCTGGTGACCTTGTGTTTTGAAGATTAAGCAGGGAGGACAATAAAAGAGATGGTCCTGATGTAGATGGGCTGTATTTAACTGTGAGATTATTGGTGGATGTCAAAATTACTTCACATCCCGCCAGGCGTTGTGCTGACATGTGTTGAGTGTTAATGTTTTTCAGTACATGTAGGACATGATGAGATGTGTGTAATATCAATGGGTTCCCCAAAACTATGATAGATGCCATTTCCACAGCCAAGGCACACACAGACAAAGCTTGGAGACACCTCGGCATGCCCTGGACGGGATGGGCTTTGTTTTTGATAAATATGCTACCGGCCTCATGGCACCTCCGTGCTCTTGAGCTAGTACTGCAGCCATGGTTTTACATGCAGATTGACAATACAAATGAAAAGATTTAGTATAATCCGGGTAACCCTAATGCGGGAGACGAGACCAGTGCTGTCTTCAAATATTCAAATGCCTGCACCAATGGCAGCGTCCTTCAATACGGTCTGGCTGATCTTTCAGTGTCACTTGATGTAATACATTGTCATAATAAGAACAGTCAGGAATCCACTGTCTACAATAGTTTACCATACCTAGGAAGGATTGCATCTGAACCTTAGTTTCTGGTTTTGGTTGTTGACATATTGCTGCCACTCTCCTTGGGCTCAGCCTCCTCTGGCCCTCAAACAATACAAATCCTAGGTACTCAACTTGTGGTGCAACAAACTGCATCTTTTTGCGAGAGACTTTTTGTCCCTGATTAGCCAGAAACCGTAACAATGACAATGAATCAGCCTGACACGCCTTTTCGCTCACAGAACTAATCAGTAAGTCATCCACGTATTGGATAAGTACTGAACCATGGGTGGGTACCCAGTCATTGAGCATGGATCTACTGGCCATGGTATATACTGCCGGTGAGTCTACATAGCCCTGAGGGAAACGGGTCCAGGTTAGCCTCTCCCCTTGAAAACAAAAAATAAACAATACCTGTGTCTCCGGGGTCAACTGGGACACTAAAAAATGCGCATTTGACAAATCAATTACTGTAAAATGTGTGGCGTTGGCAGGTATAGCATTTACCAAAGTTGTTATATCTGGGACTACAGGGGCAATAGGAATGACCAGATCGTTAATTGCCCTGAGATCTTGTACTAATCTCCACTCACCATGGGGCTTTTTTACCGGATTAATGGGAGTATTGTAGGGGGATACTACCAGCTTCAGTATTCCCCGCTTTTTAAAATACCTCCACAATAGGTTTAAGTCCGTCTATTTTATCTTTGGACAGTGGGTATTGTTTATGATAAACAGGGTTTCCTGGTTTTAAGGGTGGCTTTATACGGTGTGCAGTCAATGAGGCCTGCATCCGTTGTGTTCTTAGTCCATAGGTTTTTCAGGGAGCTTATTTAAATCATGATCCATAGCTGGAAAGATTAGGAAAGGTGTGTCCAATTGCATACCTTCCTCTGTGATAGACATCACGACTTTAAGGTCAGCTAACAAATCTCGGCCCAATAGGGACACAGGACAATGCGGGAGCACATGAAATTTATGATACCAGACCTGTCCATCTTTTGCTTGTACCGGAGGGGAGGTGTAATGCAAGTGGGGGTTTCCTTGGATTAGGGCATCCCTGTACTATAGCATCCAGCTCCTTGGGATCTATTGCCTTTAAAATCAGCTGCTCCCCAATCATCATGAATGGAAAGGCTGGAATTCATCATATCTAGCTCAGCTGTCTCATCTTTAACTTCCCCTTGTTACTTTCTGCTGACCTAAGAATTCTATCACTCTTTTCTACCTTCTTTATCTTCCTCTTTACTTTCCCTTTACCCCTCTCAGTATCCCTTTGACTAACACTCCCAGTTTCCCCATCTGAGCTAGATTCTTCTGACTCCCCTGTATATATCTGGGAAGCAGCAATAAGAACCTCTTCATCTTCATCTACTTGTTTTACCTGTGGGAGTGCTGGGGTATAATGTGGCTGCATGTGGAGCTGTAGGAGCAGGACGTGCCTCGCTGTGTTTGTATGGCGGTGGTGGTGTGAAATCATTTGCTACAATTAGAGTCTTATAGCCTGGTGCATACTTCAACCAATTCTTACCCCCTTCATACATATAATTCTTGTCCCAATCTGGATTTCCAGTCCCCCAGATACCTACCTGAGGCTGTTCATGCAAACACATTCCTCTAATCATAACCATACACATAGTGTCATTTCCCCCCTTCACAAGGAAAACTAGCTTCACCCAGTCTTTTTGACCATCCCACTAAATTATCCACCCAGGGGAGTAACATAATAAATATCATAAGGCAGGGGTGTCCAAACTTTTTTGGAAGAGTGCCAGATTTGATGAAGTGAACATGTGCGAGGGGCCGACCATTTTGCCCGACATTCTGATGAACCATTAAAATTAAATGCAAATGAACTATTTTATGCAAAAGGTTTATTGAAAAACGGCATAATTTTCATTTTGTGACTTGGATGACAAATCTAAACAGGTGTTTTAAATCACTCTGCCAGCACAGGGAGAAGGAAAGCCCAAATCTCGCGAGATCTCGGAGGTCGCGAGATTTGGGCTTTGTTTCTCCTTGCACTGTCTGATGACGTCAAGCGATCCTGAGCAAAAATCCATTATAGCCCAAATTGATACCGTATTTTTCGCTCCATAAGACGCACCTGACCATAAGATGCACCTAGGTTTTAGAGGCGAAAAACAGGAAAAAAAAAAATTCTGAACCAATGGACTGCAGACATAGTACAGGAGATGACCAGAGACTGCGGACACAGTACAGACGATGTGACCAGAGACTGCGGACACAGTACAGGAGATGACCAGAGACTGCGGACACAGTACAGGAGATGACCAGAGACTGCAGACACAGTACAGGAGATGACCCAGAGACTGAGGACACAGTACAGGGGATGACCAGAGACTGCGGATATAGTACAGGAGATGGCCAGAGACTGCGGATATAGTACAGGAGATGGCCAGAGACTGCGGACATAGTACAGGAGATGACCAGAGACTGAGGACACAGTACAGGAGATAACCAGAGACTGCGGACATAGTACAGGAGATGACCAGAGACTGCGGACAGTAAAGGAGATGGCCAGAGGCTGCGGACACAATACAGGAGATGACCAGAGACTGCGGACACAGTACAGGAGATGACCAGAGACTGAGGACACAGTACAGGAGATGACCAGAGACTGCAGACACAGTACAGGAGATGACCAGAGACTGCGGACACAGTACAGATGACCAGAGACTGCGATGACCATTCACAAAGCGAAGCGCATGCGCAGTGGGCACCCGGCTGTCACAGAAGCCAGCGTGGGAAGACTGTGCAGCGCTGGAGCGAGGAACAGGTAAGGCCCTCCAGGAGACAACAGCTGAGCGGCCGGCCCGGTATTCTGACATGGGTGGCGGCAGAAATACCGGACCGGCCGCTTTATATTCGCTCCATAAGACACACTGACATTTCCCCCCTTTTTTTGGGGGAAAAAAGTGCGTCTTTATGGAGCGAAAAAATACAGTAAATGGTAGCCCCAGTAGTAATTCCCTGCGCACCACCTGGGATCCCTCGGCCCACGTTCCGGACCCCACAGATGAGCTGCCCAATATATAACTTACGGCCCTCCACTAGTGATTCTGCGAACGCCACTGAGGACTCCAGGGATCTGTCGAGCGGGGAATTGACGTCATTAGCCGGCACACAGAGAAGGAAAACCCAAATCTCACGAGATCTCGGACGTCGTGAGATTTGGGCTCTCCTTCCTGCGCCAGCTCATGATGTCAAGAGATCGCTGGAGTCCTCAGTAGCTTTCAGGGAATCACTACCGGGGGCCGTAAGTTATATATTTGGGTAGCTCACCTGTGGGACCGTTTCAGTCCGGAACGCGGGCCGCAATTGGCCCGCGGGCCAGACTTTGGACATGCCTGTCATAAGGGGATACCCTTGCTACATATTCTTTACAAGTTTCATTTAAGGTAGATGTGTTCTTTCCCCTCAGCTTTCTAGTTTTTCTTAACAACTTAATCAACTTTTGTGGCGGCACATGACGAGGTCCTTCCTCCTTACCTGAGGAATTACCCATAGCAGTAAGTTAGTAAACTAACAAACAAGACAAAAAAACAACAATAACACACTTTTTACAAATTATACAAAGTGCTGTGCCAGGTGTGTCCTGGTATTATTTCCCGAGCCGAGAATCCCTTAGTCTCGCTCCTAAAACTCCAACCACCAAATTTCCCTGAAGTTCAGAATAATTACCTCGGTAAAGAAAGCATTAAAAAATAAAACTCTCACTTACCTTGGCAATTATCCCACTTTCTGACACCACTGAAAGTAGGTAGGTGGTCTTTTTCCTGTTCCTTGGGGGCCCCCTCAAGATACCAACGGTTACACCTGGACACAGCTACGAGATCTCGGAAAGTGAATGCACTCAAATCACAAAGAAGGAGGGGGAGAGAAGGGACGGAAGGATAGAATAGGAAAAGGGTAAAGGAGAAAGGAAAGAGGGAAGGAATAAAGGAGAAGACGGAAGCTAGGAAGCAAGTAAGGGAGAGAGAGAGGAGAAGAAAGGGAAGGATGAGAGAGAAAGAAAAGAGGGAGGAAGGAAGTAGGGAGAGGAGGAGAGAAAGATAGGGAGGAAAGAGAAGGAGGGAAGGAGGAAGGAAAAAGAAAAGAAAGGAAGGAAGGAAGGAGGAAGAATGGAAAGAAAGGGAAGAAGTAAAGGAGGAAAGAAATGTATGGAAGGAAGAGAAGGGAAGAGAAGGAGGAAAGAAGAAAGAAGGAAGGAAAGAAGGAAGGAAGAGAAGAAAAAAGGAAGGAAGAAGAAGGAAGGAAGGAAGAAGGAAGAAGGAAAGAAGGAAAGAAAAGGAGGGAAGAAAAAAGGAAATGAAGGGAAGAAGAGGTAAGGGAAGAAATGAAGAAAGAAAGGAATGAAGGGTAGAAATGGAAAAAGAGAGGAAAAGAGTAGAGAGAAAAGGAAGAAGGAAAAAGGGAAGAAGGGAAGGAGAAGAGGGAGGAAGAAGGAAAGAAAGGGAAAAAGAAAGAGAAAAAGAAGAAAAAGAGAAAAGAGAAGGAAAAAAAGAAGAAAAGAGAAGAAAGAGAAGAGGAAGAAGAAGGAGAGGAAAGAAGGAAGGAGAGAAAGAGAAGAAGAGAAAGGAAAGAAGGAAAGAGGAAGAAGAAGAGGAAAAAGAAAGAGAGGGAAAGAGAGGAAGGGAGAGATGAAGGAAAAGAGGAGAAGAAGAAGAAGGAAAGAGAAGAAAGGAAGAAGAAAGAAGGAAGGAAGAAAAGAAGTAAAGGAGAGAGAAGAGAAGAAAAGAAGAGAAGAGAAAGAGAAAAGAGAGAAGAAAGAAAAAAGAAGAAGAGAAGAAGAGAAGAAGAGAAGAAAGAAAGAAAGAGAGAAGGAGAGAGAAAGAGGGGAAGAAGAAGAAAGAAAGAAAAAGAAAAGAAAAAAAAAAGGGAGGAAAGAAGAGGAAGAAGAGAGAAGGATGGAAGGAAAAGAAGAAAGGAAAGAAAGAAGAGAAGAAGAGGGGAGAGAAAAAAAAGGGAAGTAAGGAAAAAAGAAAGAAGAAGAAGAAGAAGAAGAAGTAAGAAGAAGAAAAAAAAAGAAAGAAGAAAGAGAGAAGAGGAAAAAGAAGAGAAGATTGAGGAAAGGAAAAAGAAAGGAAGAAAGAAGAGAGGAAAGAAAAAGAAAAGAAAAAAGAAGAAAAAGAAAGAAAAAGAAAGAAAAGAAGAAAGAGAGAAGAAAAGAAAGAGAAGAAAGAGAAGAAGAAAAAAAGAAGAAAAAAGAAGAGAAAGAGAGAAAGAGGAAGAGAAGAAGAGAAAAGAAAGAAAGAGATGAAGAAAAAGAAAAAGAGAGGAAGGGAAGAAGGAAGAGGAAGAGAAAGGAAGAGGAGAAAGAAAGGAGAAGAAAGAAGAGAAAAAAAAGGAAAGAAGAAAGAAAAGAGAAGAAAAAAGAAGGAAGATAGAGAAAAGAAGAAAAAAGAAGAAAAAGAAGGAAGAAAGAAAAAGAAGAGAAAGGAGGAGGAAAGAAAAGAAGAAAAGAAGAAGATGGAAGAAAGAAGGAAGAAGGAGAAGAAGGAGAAAAAAAGTAGAGAAAAGAGGAAAGAAAAAGAAGAAAGAAAAAAAAAAAGAAAAAAAGAGGAGGAAAAAAGAGAAAAAGAGAAGAAGAAGAGAAGAAAAAGAGAAAAGAAAGAGGAGAAAAAAGAGAAGAAAGAAAGAGAAAAAAAAGAGAAGGAAAGGAGGAAAGAAGAGAAGAAAGAAGAAGAAGAAGAGGAAAAAAGAAGAAGAAAGAGAGAAAGAAAGGGAGAGAGAAAGAAGAAAAAGAAAAGAAGAGAAGAAGAAAGAAGAAGAGAGAGGAGAGAGAGAAGAAAGAAGGGAAGAGGAAGAAAGAAGAAAAGAAAGAAGAAGAGAAGAGAGAAGAAAAAAAGAAGAAAAAAGAAGAAGAAAAGAAAAGAGAAAAAAAAGAAGAAGAAAGAGAAAAAAAAAAGAAAGAGAAAGAAGAAGAAAAGAAGAAAAAAAGAAAGAAGAAAAAGAAAGAAAAAGAGAAGAAAGAAGAAAGGAAAGAAGAAGAGAAGAAAGAGAAGAAGAAAAGAAAGAAAAAGAGAGAAGAAAGGAAGAAAGAGGAAAAAAAAAAGGAAGAAAAAGAAGAAGGAAAGAGAGAAAAGAAAGAAGGAAGAAGAAGAAAAGAGAAGAGAAAGAGAAGAAGAAAGAAAAAGAAAGAGAGAGAAGAAAAGAAAAAGAGAAGGGAAGAAAAGAGAGAGAAAAGAAAGAAAGAAGAAAGAAGAAAAAAAGGAAGGAAAGAAAGGGAAAAAAAGGAAGAAGAAAAAGAGGAAAAGAAGAAAAAGAGAAAGAAGAGAGGAAGAGAGAAGAAAAGAAAAGAAAAAAAGAAGAGAAAAGAAAAAGAGAGGAAAGAAAGAGAAAAAAGAAAAAAGGAAAAAAAGGGAGAGGAAGGAAAGAAAGGGAAGAAGAAAAAAGAGAAGAGAAGAAAAAGAAAAAAAAGAAAAAGAAAGATGGAAAAAAAAAAAAAAGAGGGAGAAGAAGAAGAAAGGAAGAGAGAAAGAAGAGAAAGGAGAGAAGGAAGAGAGGAAAGAAGAAGGAGAAGAAGAGAGAGAGAGAGAGAGAGAAGAGGGGGAAGGAGAAGAAGGAAAAGAAAAGAGAGAAGAAGAGAAGAAAGGAAGAAAGAAAGAAAAAAGAAAGAAGAAAAAAAAGAAAAAAGAAGAGAAAGAAAAGAAAGGAGAAGAAAAAAGAAAGGAAAAAAAAGAAGAAAAAAAAAGAAAGAGAGAAGAGAAAAAGAGAAAGAAAGGAGAGAAAAAAAAAAGAAAGAGAAAGAGGAAAAAGTAGAGAAGAAGAAAAAGAAGAAAAAAGAAAAAAAAAAAGAAAGAAGAAGAGAGAGGAAGAAAGAGAAGAGAAGAAGAAGAAAGAGAGAGGAAAGAGAGAGAGAGAAGAGAAGAAAGAAAAGAAAAGAAAAAGAAAGAAAAGAAGAAGAAAGAGGAAGAAAGAAAAAAGAAGAGAAAGAAGAAGAAGAGAGAAGAAGAAGAAGAAGAGAGAGAAGAAAAGAGAGAGGGAAAGAGGGAGAGGGAGAGAAAGGAGGAAGAGAAAGAAAGAGAAGAGAAGAGAGAAGAAAAAAAGAGAAGGGAGAAGAAAGAAAAGAAAAAAAGAGGAGAAGAGAGGAGAGGAAAGAAGAGAGAAGGAAAGAGAAAGAAAAGAAGAAGAGAAGAAGAGAAGAGAGAGAGAAAAGAGAAGAAAGAAAGAGAAGAAGAAAAAAGAAGAGAGAAGAAGGAAAAAGAGGAAAAAAAAAGAGAAGAGAAGAGAGAGAAGGAGAAGAGAAGAAAGAAAAGAGAAAGAAGGAGAAGAGAGAGGAAGAAGAAGAAAAAAGAGAAAAGAGAGAAGAAAGAGAGAAAAAGAGAAAGAGAAAAGAGAGAGAAAGAAGAGAGAAAGAGAGAAGAAGAGAAGAAAAGAGGAGAAGAAGAAGAGAGAGAGAGAAGAAAAAAAGAAGAGAAGAAAGAGAGAAGAAGAAAAAAGAAAGAAAGAGAGAAGAGAGAAGAGAGAAGAGAGAAAAAAAAGAAGAGAAGGAGAGAGAAGAAAAAAAAAGAAGAGAAGAAAGAAAGAAAGAAAGAAAAGAAGAGAAAGAAAAGAAAAGGAAGAAAGAAGAAGAAGAGAGAGAAGAGAGAAGAAGAGAAAGAAAAGGAGAAAAAGAAGAGAGGAAGAAAGAAGGAGAAGAAGAGAGAGAGAAGAAGAAGAAGAAAAAAAAAGAAAAGAAAAGAAAGAAAGAAAAGAGAGAGAAAAAAGAAAGAGAAGAAAAAGAGAGAAGAGAAGAAAAGAAGAGAAGAAGAAGAGAGAGAGAAGAAGAGAGAGAGAAGAGAAGAGAAAGAGAAAAGAAGAAGAAGAAAGAGAGAA